TATCATAAACCGAAATCTAAAAGAATCTAAAAAAATGTAACAAAAACCAAATTCGAAAGTAAAAATAAAATATATATATATATATATATATATATAATAATTTATTCGTTGGATTATGATAAAAAAATAAATTAAATGAGTCTTATATATATATATATATATATATATATATAAAGACTCATTTAATTTATTTTTTTATCATAATCCAACAATAATTTTTTTTTTTTAACTTTCGAATTTGGTTTTTGTTACATTTTTAGTATTAATGATCGATTGATGTCATGATAAACTCTCCTTGAATAGATACTTGCTTTTCACTTAATTTTCTTTGTTGTTAATTTCTATTCATTAAAATCTACTTTTGTGTCAAGTAACTCTCGGATAAACGAATCCCATTTTGTTTTCTTTCTTTGGTTTATTGTAATTTGATTAACTCATCTCTCGTAGATTCAACTCTTGCTCACCCTATTTGCAATTTAGAACTAAAAAATAAGGTAAATTATTTTTTATTGCTTTTGGCATGCATCAATAGCTACTAGTTTTTTTTTTTTTTTTTTCCGTAGATGGTAGTGTGTGTTCTCTATATTTTTTTAATGCAAGATATTTGTAAAGTGTATCTAGAGTTGGTCTAGGGTTTTTCCTATTCTAATATTTCTTGTTTTATTATTGTTAACTAACCCTAAACAATCTAACTTAATGCATAGTGCTTGTTTGTCCTAGTCTAGGCCCAATTTTATTTTTTTCTATTTTTTCTTCTTTTCTCTCTGTCTCTCTCTCTCTCTCTCTTTGGTATTTTTGATAGGATAAAAATGGAGTGATGATAATTTTAATCAAAGTCATTGTCTTTTCATCTCATATTTATTTTTCTTCACTTTAATACCCATATATTTCAGAGTGAAGATAGGCATTTGACTACATAAGTCTTGAATCACTCGACTAACTAGTCTTCTTCTTCTTCTTCTTCTTCTTCTTCTTCTTCTTTTTTTTTTTTTTTTTTTTAGAAACAAGGATGGTACCCTAGAGTAGATTAATAAAAACGTTGAAGGATGAAGGAGGGACAAACCAGTCTAGCCCAACAAGATGGTAGGACAAGAAAGCCTAAACCTCTGAGAAGAAAAATCAGGATAGTTGACATTATAATAAAGTTTTTTGAAATCAGGTTACAAAGATTTTCCTGAAAATAGAAACTGTAGGGTAATCTGACGTAAAGAACCACTTTTTGTCCTTAACACAGGAAGCAAGAAACATGAAATGCATAATGCAGAAAACACTTAACAAGATCTAGAACAAACATTAATGAGTACAAAAATTATACAAACCATTTTGATCATCACAAAGAGTCGATTTACAGTAATTGGGCAACCCATGATTGAAGGCCCAATCCACCAGCCTATCTGCCACCTGTTTCCCTCCTTATGCATATGTTATAAAACCGTGCTATTATGAAGATTAGCTCAGCAATCTCGAAAGATGTATGTTAAGTGCTAGGGGGAGAGCTGGAACGAGTTAAGCTTGCTATCATCATAAATGAATTAGCCTCGATAACATCAACCTATATATTGTGAATAAGGCAGATTTTAATACCCTTAAGAATAGCCAAAGCCTCCCCTTTTAAGTTAGTGCTTGGAGCAAAAAATCGAGAGAAATTCATGACCAACCAACCATTGTCATCATGAACAATGCCCTGTCCACAACAAATGTTATTTTGTGAAGCCCCATTAGTATTAAGTCTCAATTTACCCAAGTTAGGACACTGCCACTTGATCCATCTCTCAGGAATGGGATAGTAGGGTTGCAACGGGATGTCAAGAGCTTGAAGAATTATCCTATCATGAAAAGCCATTAGTGACAATAGGGAGAATAGCAGAGCTATTTCTCATAACCAGAGGATAACTTTATGCTTAATAGTTATCTCATTCATTCTCTCGCCCTCAAACATGGATTTATTTCTAGCCAGCTAAAGTTCCTAAAAAATGCAATTGAAGGCTATCATACGGGAAAATTTCTTTTGGGAAGTAATATTATCTTTATATAACCAAAATGATATCAGTTGCTATAGAGATATGGAAACAAGAGCTATATCCAAACTCTCACCCAAGAACCTCCAGAGCTATTGGGCAGTCGTACTATGCAAAAACAAGTGCTCTCTAGATTGTTCTTGTGCTACCCTGCAGTAGTGGCATTTGAAGGCAAATGATATTCCACAAGTTTTAACGTTACTGTCCACTACAATAGCATTATGCAGTACTTTCCACACTAGAACACCAATTTTCTTGGACAACCACTTATTCCAGAGAGACGTCTACCATTCAAATCTTGGACCAGTCATCTAAATGGCCTCATGGTAAGATTTAGTATTGAAGTTCTTAGTTTTTTAATCTGAGTAGAAGAGTTGGTCTTCTATATATATGAGCCTCAAGAAACAGCAAGTCTAACTCGTCCTTGCTCCCAAAGGCAATGCTGCGTAGACTATTGGATCATTTTTGGCCTGAGCTATCGAAATATTCACTATTGTAGTAGGAAAAGGAATGTCTGCTATTGTCCATTTGTCTTTCCACAAGTTTATACGACCAACTCCTGCTATCCACATGGACCAGCCCATGATAGCTCTGATATGGAGAAGCAAGGATTTCCTCATCATTGAACCTTTGCTCTGATATGGATTGGCCCATGGTAGCTCGACTGACTAGTCTCCCATCTGATGCAAACACACAAAATAGGCAAAGATTTTCGTCATAATAAAAATCATAATTTATGTTTTAATTTGTATACAGTGCAGTTTTTCTTAAGTAAGACATTATAAGGAGGTTTTTGTCTTCTTTATATATAACCGGTCTTTTATCTTAGAATTTTGAACAAAATAGTTAATTGGGCTCGTAGTGACCTATAATAATAGGTGAAGATTTTTTTCTCAATTATTATCTTGATTTTTAGCTCGATGTTTATCTATACAACGTTAACATCACAAAATCATTTTTCACATAAATTTGTCAATGGATGAAAAAAGAATCAATAGTGGCAACACAAATTATTTTGCACTTAATCACATTAAAACGACAACATAATCAATTATAATTTTGAAAAACTTATAAAAATAAAAGGATCAAAATGACACCTATATAATAAAAAGAGAAATGCTTTTAACTTAATAAAAATAAACTCATTATATCACACGTAAGATGTCAACCTCAAACCATTATTTATCAATAAAACTATAACTCAGCTAGTATTAACATTTCTTTTTTTAAAAATAAAAATAAAAAAAGAAAGATATCCACCTTGTTTATAACAAAAACCTCAAACATTACTTGTGGAAATGGTCCCCTTGTTTCTAATGGAGCTTTTGAGTAGGCAACAACATTCCTTTGTCTTTTAATTCTAGTTGCGTAACCTCTAGGTCCGTTTCTAGTTAGCTTATCGAACTGTCAAATGATTGTTTTTTTTTTTTTTTAATTTCAATTTGCTCCTTCAGGTTTGGGGTAAATCTAGTTTCTTCTCCTGAAATTTTAATTTTCACAATGTCCCTTCTAAAATTTTAGTCATGAATCAAAATTCCCTTTCAATCCAATGACAAAAAGCTTGTCAATCTCTAAACTCTTAAAATTTAATCCAATAAGATTATCTTAAAATAATTTTATAAGATCAAATCTTCTACCTTCAATTAAAAAGTACAAATGATACCACCTAAATTATTTATATTTAAAAATGTAAAATAAAAAATTACAATTTATCATTTTTAATACGCCTTATAGTGAAAATTAAGAAAAAAAATATAAAATAATTTGTAAGTTAGAGAAAAATGAATTATGAAAATCACAAAAGGTTAGCAATTTAAAAGTAAGAAGCCTAAAGTTTTTTTTTTAAAAAAAAATAACTTCTGTAATGTTACAAATGCATAATCATTAACCAGAAAACCAACAATAAATTTGATAATTCTAATTAGTTTTCATAAAAAAAAAAAAAACATTTTGAAAGTTCGATGTCGTTAAATTAATTTAGCATAGAATAAGCTATTTTTTTAATATTAAAAATAATAGTCTAGAATGGTTTAGTTTTTACCATTTTTTTAAGAAAAATTATATTTTTCTGATTTATTTTCTTAATGAGCTCTACAGTAATTTAAACTTTCTTTTTGTATATAATTTTTATTTTGATATATATTCTATTATTTTTAAGTATTTTTGAATTATATTATTATACACAAATGCCTCATGTGACATTATTTGGAATTTTTAATTGAAATTAGAAAGATTTGATTTTATCAAATTATTTTAAAAATATTTTATCTGATCATATTTCAAAAGTTCAGAGAGTAAAGAAAAAGAAAAGAAAATCATCAGTGGAATAGTGACTGAAACTTAATGGAAGACATTAATAAGAAAAATTGGATTCTCCCAAACCGAAGTAATTGAAATTGAAAAAAGGTTTATCAGTTGCAAATTGCATGTCATCTTGCTGCGTGTTTTTAAAGTAAAAAAGTGGCAAGGCTGCCTCTCATCATATCCTGCCTTGGCTTTTTGTTTTTGTCTGTGCCCCTTGCAGCTAGTTGGCAACATTGCTCAGAATCTGTAAGCTTTACGTTTTACCCCCAAAACTAAAATTGTCAGGTGAAGTCCAAATTATGTTTTTCGAGTGAAAATTCTCTCCATATAAAACTTACACATATTCATCATTTTCGTACCTTGCAAGTTTAATTTTACTTACAAGAGAGAAGGAAGGCAATAGGATTCAATTTCTCACACGAGTTTTGACATCAATCAATAAATCTACTATTTATTAAACTAAAGTAAGATCAGAACATACCTAACCTTTGAAGTGATTAGATTGTAGCAACAAACAGACAAACAGTATTCCATTTCAAGAACACAAACTCCATTAATTGATCAGAACTAATTTATGGTGAGCTTTGAAGCCAGATCTCTATAATAGTGAGCTTTGAATAATTAATTACAAAGAAGAAATGAAATTGATGGTTTGTACATGAGGAAAAAACTGTATGCTCAACTGGGAATCATAGAACTCCTACCTTTCTCATACCTTGTGAACATAAATCTTCCTGTAGAAATAGATCTCTTCATTCCAAAGGGACTACTAACTAAATTCAAGATCCCACCTCCTCCATTTTTCTGGTAATCATCACTATCCTCATCATCATCTTCACTAATGCCTAATATATCAGAAATAGAAATCTGGTTTTGAGATAGTGAAAAATTCAATGAAACTGACCTTCTAATTGGTTGGATCAGATTGCTTTCTAATTCCATAGCATTCTGCCTACTTTCAAGATCTTGATTAACTGGAGTCTTGGGTGTATCACCACCGATAACAAGACTAACAACACCCCCTTGCCGAACACTCCCTTCTAAATCTTGAATCACTAAGACAGCATCATTAGTCCTATGTTGGTATTCATTAGTATTACTTGGCTGATTTTCTTGGACTGGCACAGCAGGTGCTGGCATTTGACTAGGCAAAATATTAGTGGGAGCAATATTGGCACGGCATAGAGGACAACTTGCATGAGATTTGAGCCATGTATCAATGCAAGGGAGATGAAATGCATGGCTACACTTCGGCAAAAGCCTTAAGCTTTCATTTTCTTGAAATTCACTGAGACAAACTGAGCAATCTGTGCCTTCAACGAAACCATCACCTTTCTTGTACTTGCATATAGTGATAGACTTTATAAGTGCCTCATCTAATCCACCAGCTGGGACACCTTGCCATGCTTCATTAGGCATTTGATCTTGATTTTCATTCAATTCAATAGCACCATCTCCATGGCCTCGCCGCTTACAATACTTAGAAATGAGAGTATAGTAAGTTACCAAGATGAAAGCACTTGCCAGGATGCCGATAACTGCTATAATAAGAGGAGAGAAATCAGTATTAGAATCATCGTCACCAAGATTAAAAGGAGGTGGAGGAGGGAAAATGATGTAACACCATTGTGGACAATAGACGCTACAAATTCCTTGTGAACAATCCTTATAGTTACTATATGGTGCCCAAGGATTTTGGTTGCCAGAAGTAGAACCCATTTTCTCTTTTTCTTTTTATTTTTCAATCTTGATACACCTCTAAGTTTGCAACAGTTTTTGAATGATGTGCTTTCATCAGAATATTTACATACAGCCTAGATCACTAATAAAGAAACGAGGGAGAGGAATGAGAACGCAAGTGGCATTGGAAAAAGAAAGTAGCAAAAAGAGGGGCTTAGATGGGCAGGTAAGCAAAGCAAGAGAAGGGAAGTTGATATGTCTCTCTCTCCCTCCTTAGTCCTTATCCCTCTCTTTGTAATTTATGAGTTTATTCTCTCTCTCTCTCTCTCTCTCTCTCTCAAGCTTTGTTTGTTTTGGGTTTTGCTTAAATTTGATTGACTTAAATGTTATTGGGTCATTTGTTTTTTTATTAAAAATCTAGTGATCATTAATCAATTGGTGAAGTACCGTCCAAGCTTAATTGGTTGGTAAAGTGTAGGTGACCTCTAATTTGCATCTCCTGTGGAAGCCACCACACATTTAACAACAACTGGACCGCTAACATCACGCCACTCCTGAGAAGGAAATTAATTACATATTTGATCCCTAAAATCTTAGGGTTTGGTCATCTTGACCCATGTACTTTAATTTCAGGCTTGGCAACTCTCGCACTTTACCTTCATGGTCATATTTGGTCCCTCCACATAACACATATTCATTAGCTTCTTGTCATGTATTGTACGCATAAAAGACATACAAATCTTCAAGTTGTATATTCGACTTTTTTTCAATTCTAAGGTAAATGTGGGCATACAGCGGAAGGGAGAAATCGTTCTGGAGGCTTGCATTGTTTAGTTCCGGAAATCAATTAACAAACGAACCTTGCCATCTTTGTTTGGAATCGGGAGGAGATTAGTTAGCCACTCGGGAACGTAATCTTTTTCACTTCCTCTTTGATCATCCCACTGGGATCGTAATCTTATAGACTTTTCTTTTGTTGCTTTTATTCCTGAGATTAAAGGCAATCTTTGAACAAGCAAATCTCTGTCCAGCCCTGGAATATCTTTGTAGGACCAGCCCAAGACATTCACTAGCTTCCTTCAGACAATTTTCTTGATGTTGGTTTTAAATTATGAATTTTATCTTTGAGATCAATCTTTTATTTTCATTTTCGAGTTAGTTTAGATATCATTTAAGACTAATTATTTTTCCAAATAAACTTAAGAATACAATTTATATCAGTTTGACGCGTTAATATATATATATATATATATTCAAGATTTGCTCCCTTCGGATCAATCCCTTAAAATGTTATACGTAAAAAATGGAAAACTAACATAAAATGTTGAACGTGATGCCCTTGTCGGATTAGGACCGCTTTGAAGAATGTGTCGTGGTTAATACTTAATGCTAGTAGTCTTACTAATTAGTGAAATCAAGTGCTCTGCTGATCAGCATGTCACATCCTGGGTTGGTTAATTGGTTGTTGACAAGAACTTTTCTTCATTGGGAATTATGTTTGTTTGTTTATCATTATCAATGTATCATTAAGTCTTCTACGAACCCAAAAAAAAAAAAAAACTATCAATGTATCATTTGGTCCAGGGAGGAAATGGCTGGCGATGGCCATAACATCAACCACCAGTTTCACCCTTGAATATTATTTTCAGTTGGCCTGAATAAGCTTGCATTCGTCAGTTAAATGTTGATTCAAGATATAGAGTGCTTAAATTCTCTTTTTTTTTCTTTTTTTTTTGGGCCGGAGTAGAAGACCGTTTCAACTTGAATCCTTTCGCTGTTAATATGTCAATTTCAATTAGGACCTGTATTTTTAATTCACTTCAATGAATAAATAAATAAATAAAATCTTAGGCCCACCAAGAGAAAGAACCAAGTAAAATCGACATTTCAAGCAGAAGACGTGAGCTAAAAAAAAAATTCGTAGTATCAGGTTCACCGATTCCGATTCTTTGCCACCCTTGCATGCTTGTATAACACTTCAACTCAGATCTCCAAAGAGTTGGTGCTTGGATATCAATCTAAGAAATTGTTGTCAAAAAGTAAAAAGTAAGGTTTAAGAACAAAAGAAAAAGTAACAAAGTAACTTATTTAATTCGGTCATATCTTTGTCCATTCATCCTTGATTCCAAATCTACTACATTTTTCTTCTTTGGCTTCCTACATTCATTCATTGGACACGAGTATTTTCTTTGTTGCGTAGAATAACGTTTGTTATGAAAATAGGAAAACCCAAATATTAAGTAACGAGATTTTACAGAAAATTAGATCCGTCACCTTTCAACTTTTTCCTCTTTCACCACCGTCATGATAGCAACTCAATCAAAACCATCAGGATTTCCACCATTTATTATGTACCGGTAATGGAACCGGAAGCATTTTTCCGAAGCACTTTGTGGCCGAACACGTCCATCTGCATTACCGAACGCTTCCATCTACATTACCAAGTACACTCTCCATCTTATCTCTACCAAATGCCAATAACAGTCTATATAATCAGTAGTGTAATAGTTCTGCAATCAGCATCTCAGCCCTTACTATCACTACCACCACCTCCTCCGCCATCATCACCATTCACTATCATTACCAACCCAAACACCACCACCACCCAGCCATCATCAACCTATATCACCTCTATCTGAACCATATCCAATAGGTGCCCTTACAATCTTCACAACCATTAGGACCGCATCAGCAAATATGATATTTCCATTGTCACAATTGCTCTCGTTGTCTTTTCTAATTTAGTCTTTTCTAATTTAATCGACATCAATTTCTAACATGCTTTACTCCCCCACACCACCAAACAATTTTATTTTTTATTTTATTTTTTTTTGTAAGAGAATCGTTTAATTTGTTTCTTATAAATAAAAATAGACATTCAATTAATTTAATTTTTTTTTCAGGCCTACATTATAAGTCACGAGTACTGCAATGGATCACATTTCTTGCCCACCCATTCCTACCCTAATTTTCGTGTAAAGCAACATTACTAACACACAAAGTTCGTGACTTTGGATAAAAAATTTAAAATAATATAATCATTTGTTGACACCCTAAACCAAAAAGAACCATCAACAACCCCATTGTTATGAAGTTATAAACATAATTCAATACCTACCATATAATTAATAATTAGAGTTGGCAAGTTTAATTCCTTCCAACACCAGCAGAAAATTATACCAACAGATAGCATTGATCTCTGACGTGAAAATTGTGGCTGCAGCTTGACCCTAGCAAACTGACAATTTATGCTACATATTTGCGTGGCAATCATTGGACAACACTAAACAAAATACACATAAGGTTATACATTTGCTACCTAGATGCTACATATATGCGTGATCCACAGCCTAAAAAAGAGTTGAACCACAATTTATGGTACAAAGAAAAGTTTTGGCATTGTAATTCAAGTATCAAGGAGCAAACCAACCTCCCTGCAGATTTATTCTCTCTGTCTTCTGTATGAATGAATATTGAATATGAATACTGTACTGAAATATGAAGAGATCTATGGTTTTAAGCTCTACCTTTTCTCTTGTCATCCAGTGCCTGATCCAAAAGCGGTACACCAAGTAGGATAATCAAAACTTAAATCACATCAGAAAATGCAACAAAGGGAAAAGTATTTTTTTGTTACCAAGTAGCAGCATCCAATGTGACCATGCACATGTAAATGAGTAAACTAATATGCAACGAAGTAGGTATTCAAGGAAACAAAAAAGCCTAGCAAAAATGAAGAACAATGATGTAGATACAAAAACCTCAATCAGCAAAGTCCAAAGCAGATTTCATCAGGAATTGATATGTTTTCCATTGGGGGAAAAGTAACTCTTTGGTTATAAAACATCAGGCATTGCCAAAAGCAAATGTCTGTTGAACTTTTGCACTTGACTGACACGTTGAGCATTAGCTGACATGACTGGGTGCTAATTTGTAAACTTTAAAGTTCCTCTTTATTTCATCCAAGGAGAGAACCTTAAAGTCATCGTTATCAATGGCATTTACACAATTACAATAGCTACAACCACATGGAAATTTGTGTGGATTAACTAGCTATCTTTTACTGAAAATAGGAAACAAAGCTGGTCACAGATGAGTTCTGTTCATGCCACATGTGTTCTTAACCATGATATAGCATTTCCACAAATATTGGAACAATAATTCTTAGCAACTAAGATAGGTTAAGTCTTTTATCAAAAAAAAAAAAAAACAAGAGAGAGAGAGAGAAAGAGAGAGAGAGAGAGAGAGAAAAGAAAGAAAGATAGGATAAGAGACACCAATTTTTGCAAGAACATTCGATGATTATTTCTAAAAGGGCCAAACAACTAAGAGCAGCCAAAAACAATGCAGAAGCATATATTCAGGAACTGGCATTTTTAAAGTAGGATTGATGCAAGAATAAGATACCTTGCTCTGAAACATTCGCATAGCCAACACAAGAGTGTCGCGCATTCTGCAAAAACATATGAATAGCATCATGATAAACAACATTGCATTCATAAGAAAAAGCAAAACATTTGTTATGTGATCTTAATGATTTGTCATGTTCACTAATATTACCATCCGATTTAGAAAAAAGAGCACCAACAAAATTTTATCAGGCAACAAACTTTTGGAATGAATTGATCCATGCAAATTTATGCTATGCAATAGACGCTAGAAGAAATATTCAGGAAAAAAAAAAAAAAACAAGAAGCAAGTCATCAGAGAAGTTTCAATAAAAAAAAACATGTTATATCACATAATTGTAAATGAGAATAATAATATATGGAGGCCGCACAAAAAAACTAAACCATAGATTGTTGTTTGTGTGCCATAGGATTAGGAAGAAGACGAGACGAAAGAGATGACAGGAGGAGGAGGAGGAGGAGACTTGAACCAAAGAGAAGTCAAGAATTCATAAAGTTTTCAATTATCAACCAAAGTCTTTCGTAAATAATGAAGAGGTGCTAGAAATAGGAACCCAAACTCCTAAACTCAAATAAATAAAGGAATAAAAGTATATATAAACGATTTATGTATTTTCTCTCTAAAACAAAACATCTAAAATCCATTGTGGATAATCCATCATTGCCATTGTTACCAATAAGCTCATTATTTTCCTTTGGGTCAATAAATTAGATAGAATGCTGCAAAGAAAAAAAAATTAACACAAAAATTTCATACAAACTGATGTGGCCCTCACTTTTTTTTTTTTTTTTTTTACTCTGGACTAAGCATTTAAGATTTACTGGACCCACAGTTCACTGGTTATTAGTTGCCACATTAGTTCCTATGGATATTTAGTATAATAAGTTTTTTTTTGTTAATCACTTTCCAATGTCATTATGTTAGATTATTTCCATTGATCATCAAATCAAAAGAAACTGTTTTATTACTAGTTTCATTTGCAAAATAATTAACCTAATTGTTTTGTTTGTACTAACTACTAAGATGTTGACCTTCTGCAACTTGAACTAACATTGAAGGACTGAATGCACATGGTAAGTCATGCAACACTTATAGAGGCAAGTTTGCGCATGGAGACTCATGATTCAAACTCCCAACAATGCAAGCATAGATATCGAATCAGGACCAAAGTACACTCCTCAGACCCTCTTGAATGCTGAGTGACATCGACGTGTTATTTTAATCTGTTAATATCTAAGATAATTGTTAGTATATTGTACAAAGTGACTGTAGTTTTGAAGTCCACAGTGCTAGCTGGGAATTAATGAGGGCTTTATAGCATCTCCCTCCAGGGAAGTAGCAGTTTAGCATTGAAGTCCACAGTGCTAGCTGGGAAATAGTGAGGTTTTACAGCATCTCTCTACATCTACTTCCTCTAATTCTACTTATTGGCAAGAACTTTTTAAACATGGAGGAAGTAACTGGGGGAAGTAGCAGTTATTGTAAGGGAAGGACGTTGCGTTATTGCCTTCCTTCTATATTTCCATAGAGAAAAGTTGGAAACCACTTCCAATAATCAACTAAAACTGCCAGGTCTATGAGGCCACATAAGGAAATTATTATCTTTCTGGTCGAAGGTCACCACCAGTCAGCTTTACGTTTTCTGATGTTGGGCCAAAATAGAGTAGCAATCCATTTTGAAACAAATAACATGGACATTGCATTCTAATCAATATAAATATAGAAAACCTTAACATAAGGTAGTAATTACCGAACATCATATGTACTGAGAGGATGAGAAGATCCACCGGCACATGTTAAAACAAATTGTGTTGAGAGTCCAGCAGGAATTTTTATCTGCAGTGAAAAATAAATAAATAAATAAAATAATATAATATAAAATGACTTATGTGGAGGAGAAAAATTTTCATTGAAAATACATTGTATTTTGTATTTTCATGAAGATCTGCAAGTACAATAAAGATTTATTCCAAAACTGATAAGACAGACACGAGTATGCTTAATAGTTACATAGCTGTATCTATAATTGCAAAGATTTGTCATCTTTGTGGTGCTCTTAACAAAAAGAAATTGTTTATATAAATTGGCTCAATGGATAGTTACATAAATAAAATGAATTTTGTGTAGCAAAAGGCCTAAGGTTACTCCAAACACATATAACAGAAATGGTCATAATACCAAATTAATATGCCACTCACACCAAAAAAAAAAAAAAAAAAAAAAAGAAGCCACAAGGTAAAAGCAGTGAAAGAAAACAACATACAGATAAATCCTTCGAAAATCTGTCAGAAATAAGCACATTTTCCTTTCCGTTGCTCTTAATTTGGTATCCTGAACGTTGCAAAACTAGAGTTGTTGGCTCCCAATTGTCAGAAGAGTCCGTCTACAAAAGGAAGTACAAGAAAAAGTTTGCTAGATGATATTTAAAGTCATAGAACTGGATACACTATAATCATTGAGGAGTTGAAAATGAGACATCTAATAATCAAGGTACGTTTTATGGGAAGCCCTAAGAATCAGTTATACATGGCACATAAAGCAAGCATATTAAAGTTTCACCAAGCTTCAATGAAGAACCCCTCACATTGAAACCCAACCCACATATCCTCCCTTCCCACCCTTCCCCCCAGTTGTTCCTTTACAATCTCTAGACACAACACAACCAAACACACACAAATCAAAACCCCAGTTGTTCCTTTACAATCTCTAGACAACACCCCAATGCAAATCTAAGCATAAAACAGCACTATAACATCTTAAACTGCCCAACCAATTAGAAATTGAACATGATAATTTAACATCCATGTGCATGGCACATTGACTAGCTCAAATATTTCTCTAAGAAAAATGAAAATGCACATGCACACGACTTTAATTCATAAGGAAATTTCTGGAATATGTTGTTCACTCCGTACACAGAGGAGACGAGCCAAAATAACACATAGCTAAAAAAATATATAAGCATGGCTTGTGTACATTAAAAGATTTTCTATTTTAGCGCATGATCTAACCATGTGTTATTCATAAAGCAAACATACAATAATTTGTTGTTCATAAAAATACCTAGCTCTATAAACTTTATAAAGGGTCTTGAAAGTTTGTTTTAGATTTCAGGTTCATTATCTTTATAGCGAAGGGTAGAGCAATTGTTGATAATGTTAACTTTCACAGTTTCCCCAAGGGGGTTGCCTTACTGGTTTCTCAGCTCTGGAAAGCTATAAAAGTAAGGAATCGCGACCAAAGACTTTCCACTGAGAACCCAAGAAACAAATGTAGCAAATATGTAAAAGAAGCATTATCACCACACAAAACCAGCAGCCAAAGGTCAGCACAAGGCATTTAAGTTCTCGACAATTTCCATGTTCTGGGTTACATACAATTAACGGAAATGAAGATGCAAAAGAAAGGATGGTAAGGATGTATTTATATTTATCAACCAATTCCTACTCTTACATACAAAAGATGATTAAGAGATAGCACTTCTAATACCTCAGATTATGATATAATATCTCCAGTAACGTAGATAACAAAAACCTCATAAAAATTTATCTATTACTTAGAAACTGGAAATATTATTGAGCATGTACAAAAGTTTAGTTATAGAACCACCGTTGTGTATATTCTTCTTTTTTTTTTTCTTTTTTTTCAGAAGTTTGCACCATTCCCCTTTTCAAATTTAATATCTGATTTTAGTAAAGAGTTCATGATGATGGAAAAGAGTCTTACTATTGAAAAAAAGCGTTTTTCTTCTCACATTTTGCCCATTATGGGCCTCAATAACAAAATTTCAACAAAATTTCACCATGCACCACAACTGCAATTTGAGATTTAGCGGGTATACTGCAAGCTATTGTTATTATGTATATTGCATGTTGGATTGTGCTCTAATCCTGTCCACTCAAGAAATTAAAAAATAATAAATTATTTTGATTTTTCAATATTTAGTTTGTTAGACTCTGGTTTAATCAATAATCCAGAGGTTTCAAGTTTTAGCTCCTAAACAAGATTGATCTATTTGGTTTTCTGCCAAGTGCATGTACCCCTCACCCAAACCTCCAAAAAAATCTCATTTTCTTTCTTGAGAAAAAAGAAGGGGAAAGAATCCTTAATATTTACGAGCTTAAGATTTTTCTTCAACATATAAGTAGTTCAAAGAGTAAAACAGGACCTCCGTTCTATCCAATTTTCTAATGTACCAAAGTCTATTAGGCCAATCAAAAATCAACAGAGAGATGAAAGGTTTAAATATATGACAAGTTATTTTTTTGTAGAAATTACCAAAATGTTCTAAAATTGGTTTCAGAACATTTGTACCTACATAGTAGTTTCCTAAAAACTTACTTCACCACAATATCTTACGAGTATGTTGTCATCTACCATTTTCCAACAAAGCAAATCACCATCTAGGATAAGAATCTATTTTTTAAGAGAGAGAGAGAGAGAGATAGAAAGAGAGGAGGAGGAGGAGGAGAACCATAGCATATTATTAGAAAGAAAAAAATTGCCAAATTAGTCTCACATACAAACACTGCTGTTAAAACAAAACCATACCTACCAGCAATAGAACACTAAATGTGGCTTCGCCCTTGGAAATATAAGTGTCAATCTCCCGTTGCATATCTGGGTCTACAAGTAGATCATCAGAAAGTTAAGCAAGGATATAACAGTCAGGGCATAAAATTCATAAAAGTTAAGAAACAAATGCCATGTTAACAAATCTTTAATTCATGCTAGCATGCCAGTTAAGTTTGTAAAGGGATCAAAAAAGAAATAACTAACGGTAACTGACATCATGTAAGAGTCCATGGAAAAGCTTCTTAAATAAATTCATTTAATTTTCTCGCCCTCCTCCTTATTGACCAATAAATGTGAGAGCAAGCAAGAAGTATATGCGCATTCAATAAGGACAATGCCTGTATGCCAATATAAGCAAAAGGCTTCTAAATGTGCACATGGCAACTGGATTCTGAATCTTCAATGATTTGAGTCATTCAAAAAAGAAGCTGATTGGAAATCACAAAATTTCATAAGTTTCACAACAATAGCTTAGATATAACGCCAAGTAGCATAAAATTCATAATCTCAACAAAACTATAAGTAGAAATTAAAAAAAAATGGAGGTTATTTGCTACATAAACTAACATTATCACAATGGATTGACCACAGGTAAGATCATTATGATAAATACAGAAGAAGATAAAAGGGATTATGCTATGCCCAGTCAAAATTCAAACTTTCAACATGTATGGACTAAATCATAAATCTACTATACTAGACATAAAATTACTGTTTCATATGATAAAAGAAAAAAAGAAAAAAAAACGAAAAAGAAAAAATCTGCAATAATTATTTCACTTCATATTCAAAGTACTTCAAGATCTTAAGATCAAAAAGAGAAGAATCCATTTCAGACCCACTTACCACATTTTATTTTGTTCTGATCATTAGCAAAACGCCTCACCAGTTCCCCCTGACAACATAAACAATTTGGAATAAATCATAATATCAAAAGTTACATTTATTTGTAATCTGAAAATTTTCAGTGTGACAACTCAACGAGATCCAGAAGACAGTGAAGTACATTAAGTAAAAAGATCAAATAATGCAGCAAACAAACAAAATAAAAAGGCAAGAAAAGGAGTTCTGAGTGATTTTTGTATTTTTGGTGAAATTATGTTATTATGCTCAATAACATTACCAGTAGATTTTCACACCTTAGGAAATGCCTACTAAGTCATAAAATCACCTGATGGCCTTGGTCATCCATAGGTATACACTCAACAGCAATCAACTTATCAACATCATCAGCTGTGACGATATATTCTGGATTTGTTGCTCCTGAGTCAAATATTAACATAAATATCAATGAGATAACCTTTGAATAAGAGCACTACCAGAAAGTCAAAAATGCATATAATATTTTTATTTTTTTTTACCTTCAATGTACTGCGTAGTACCATCTTCAAGATGATGAACCCACTACAACATGACAAAATAAACCATTTAAGTGGATAAAATAATATTTTTTTGTATTCAGAATGTCTTAATTGATGGCGGTTCTTGTATAGATAACTCAAGCACATCACCTGAAAGATGCAAAGAGAAGTCCCACGGACAGGGAATCCACATCCAAGGAGTTTTTCTCCAGGTATAGCATCACCAATAATCTGAAAACCCTCAATGCCAGGGAGATCTAAAATGAAACAAGCCTGTTAGACTTTATCAGAGGCCATGAATTTGTCTCCACAAAGAAGCATCCTCACCATCAGAAACAGAGGAAGCAATCTCATCATTTGTGCTGGAAGGATGGAGCACATCATTGGCCATCTCTCCTGCTCTCATATTCATATCACTTTTTCCAAATAAACTATCGGAAAGAGGGCCAGCAACCTTCCTGTGAAAAAAATCATATATAAAAAGTGGTACAAGTACCAGATAACAATAAGTTCTATCACTGAAGAGAGAAAGAATATTGCTAGTTCTTGTACAAGAACAAAGACAAACAGAGCATTAAATTCTGTTGAGTATAAAATTCAAGATCACTATCCCGCAATGTTCTGGTATAAGGAACTTATATAACACAGCACAATGTAGAACAACTTGGGATCGGGTCCTGTAAAAGATTTGGGATGTGGTAGGTTTAGAGAACTAGAGATTTTAGGAAGAAAGTGGGATTTTTATTATAAGAGTGAAGTTAGAAAGAAATATAAGAAAAGGTAGAAGAAGAAAGGAGTGCTTAGGGCCAAAAAAAAAAAAAAAGAGAAGACGAAGGACTAAAAGGTGAAGCCCCAATAACGATGTTATATTTATTAATTTAATTACAATGTTGGTGGTAAGATGAAAATGTTGGACCACTTTGATCAAAGAGCTCTAATGCCATGTTAAAGAAACACTCAACTAAAAGATTAATCTTTTAGTTAAAGCCCTAATAATGGTTTTATATTGGATTAATGCTAGGGGTGATTAAATTTTTTACAAAATCTTTTTTACTAAGTGATATGGCATTTGTTATAGGGAAAGATTTTCAAATCATGGAATGTGAATCTTATCACATTTAGTGATGCAATGATAATTACATAAACTAATGAATCACCAATCATGTGCTGCCACAGCATTTAGTAAAACAATCTTAGTAAAAAAATTCAGTATCTCTGGCATTATCCTATATATTGTATTCTCTACCATAGAAAATAGAAATGGAATCCAAACTAAATAGTATAGGGAAAACACAAATATAGATAACTCCTAATTTACTTCTTTATCCATTCCAAAACAACCAATAGAGGATATCATAATATTAAAAATAGCTTTACTCATTAATATATCTGCACAAACTAATATTGATTCCTAAGTCATTAAAACTTTTCTTACGTTAATCAATTGATCTACAGCCTGTGAATGGTTCCTAGAAAATGCTTCCAGTATAATTTAATAATAATTCTCTTGATATAATATGTTCCAATATTACTTATACATTTATGACAAACTCTGACCTTTCCACTTCATTAACCATTCTGGTCCTGAAAACACTGCTGAGGGGGAGAACATACTCAGATTTATTCAATTTGACTATTGTCAAAACTTAAGGAAGTTTGTGTTAACCAAATATGACTCCTTGAATAATATAAAATGAAACTCCTACAGTTTCTTGTACTTTATAAAACAAACTGAAAAAATGAGTTCTGCAATTTATAGTTAGTAACTAATAATATTATCCACCATAATTAGAAAAAGGATTGAATGCACTAGATCCAAACTATACAAATTGTACCAACCTGTCAGGATTGAATGAGAACTCTGGGAAATTGTTGTTAAGATTTGTCTCATGTACATATCTTGGCACATTTTCATTCAATTCCAGATGCCGGTCGGCTGTATTGTGATTAGAAGCAGAAGTCCCAAGCTGACCCTGCATTGAAACACAGAGAACAAAATGATAAGCAAAAAAACATAATCATAAAGCCAAGCTTATGTAATGAAAATGACAATAAGGAAACAGAAAACAAGTAGATTACATGCAAGTAATACCATGGATGGATGAGTTATTTGACCCGTCAAGATGCCAGAAGCAAGGTTATTTATATCATGAGAACCGCTTCCATTTTGAGGGCCCAGCACAGATGCTAACTCTATGATTCTATCCTGTGATGAAAGTAAATCAATAAGTGTAACATTATTTTCACCCATAAACAAAATAAACAACCAGTTACATCATAATCTTGATACAGGCAAAATCTGATAAAAATGTGCATCCTGGATCACAACATAACAATTAAGAACTAACCGAAATAAATGTTATCAAGACAAAAATGCCCAAGTCAAATATTTATCTTAACAGAGGAGAAACAAAACTTGATATATGAGATGTAAAGCAGGATAAAGAAAAAAAATGCTTTTATATATGCATGGTATGGGAGTGTTGGATCTGCAAGTCTAATGTGCACATAGTCAAAACACATGTTTGCACAGGAAATGAAAAAAATATTAAAAGTTAAACCCCAGGGACTCATGAGAACATATATGTAAATTAGATGAAATGAAGCATTTGAAAATTTAATAAAATGGAAGAACAATAATAGGAAGTTGTACTTAATTTGGCAAAAACAACAAAACAAAAACTGCCCTACTGCAGCATGCCTCATAGCTTACATGTGAAGTTCTAATCTTCCACTGCAATTGATCATGCAGGAGCTGCAAAATATAAAGAAAAAAGAAAAGATAAAGTGTAATTAGATAATTTTTTTATTGATGGACACTTGGGACATTGCTACATAAAACACCATTCTGAAGCAGCCTATATGCTTAATAACCATGACAGAGCAAACAGGAAAAGGATAATAACAGGTCAACTGTTTGGTGCCTTGCAGAGGAGAGGAGAACCGAAAACAATAGGAAAAGTAAGGCCTTAACACAACCTCCAAATACATCAAGCCCCTCTCAGCAAGGTTGACAGACAGGAATTAGGGCAGTTTCAACAAGGTTGAATGTACAAGGCTTTTTGCACCAGATTGCACAAAGCTAATATTTTAACTATACTTGGCCTGTGACCTCCACTATATCAAATTTCTGATAAGCATTCTGGAATAAATAGATGAATGTTCTCACATTTAAAGAAAGCCACCAAACTTCATCTAGATGCAGGCATTTAGAAAATTTTCCCATAAGAGTACATATTTAAGAGATACATGGGGTCAAATATGATAACAAAGTTACAGATGAGGATAAGAGAACAGAGCATAACATGTTCGAGGTCTAACACAAAACATAAGGTGTTTCTCATGCCTTCCCAAAGAATAAGAAAATAAAAAAGAAAGAACTTGGAACAGTCCATAAGAATATGATAGAGCCAAAGCATGCTTTAATTCTAGGTTTTTTTTTCTTCTTCTGCTTTTTTTTTTTGTTTGGGAGAAGAGGGGGGGGGGGGGGGGGTGCAACATACGTTATTTGTTACCTTTACACTATTACATATAGTAGAGGCCTTTATGACATGGGGCTGGATTCCATAGTCAGCCCATAATCCAAGCATGGATGAATTGAAAATAAAATGCTTTTTTATTTTTATTTTTTGGCAACAAGTCAATGGATGATGAAAACATAAACGAGAGTAGCCTCAAAGTTCATGCCTTGTATTGCAGAACCATGTTCACTTGTTGCAGATATACAATCCATGCGTTATTTGTTACCTTTACACCATTAGATATAGCAGAGGCATTTATGACATTGGACTGGATTCCATATTCAGCCAATAATCCAAGCATGGATCAAATGAAAATAAAATGCTTTTTTTTTTTTTTTGGCAACAAGTCAATGGGAGATGAAAACATAAACGAGAGTAGCCTCAAAGTTCATGCCTTGTATTGCAGAACCATGTTCACTTCTTGCAGATATATAATCCATGCGTTATTTGTTACCTTTACACCATTAGATATAGCAGAGGCATTTATGACATGGGGCTGGATTCCATATTCAGCCAATAATCCAAGCATGGATGAAATGAAAATATACCTCTCATCGTCCACTGCCTGGAGAACAAGTACACCATTAAGAGATGCATTTTACCCAAAGCATATTCAGGAATAAAATGACAATGAAAGAAGACGAATAGAACAGGAGCACAGTAAAAGGTATTAATATTCTTCCATCACACCAATTGATGGTATCACTTTCCAGAAGTTCTTCGACTGAGTGGGCAGAGAAGTCGAGAACATTTAAAAAAACTACAAAATTGTTTCTCCTTTATGCATTATAGAAAGTAAGGATGGGATGCGCCTGTTTACACTTCCCAAGGAAAACGTTCTAAATTGATAAATTAGTAGATCTCAAAAAGTTTTAAATATATAGATGTGTATATTTATGCTGATAATATAAAATCCAACATTCAGTTTGAGCAATTTATATAACAAAGCTATGTACCATGCATGCTATCATCTAGCTGACACTGTATTTCTATATAAACAGAAGAATAAATAATGTATCTACTTATAGAGTTACTGATTACTTGTAAGACCATGACAATGGACAAGACTGATGTGCATATGAGAGTCCAATCACTGCAGGATAATCTTAGTCTGTGCTGCACGGCACTGGAAGTAATTGCATTCATATGCATGCAAGCTTGACTATTAAAATTAGTTTTAACGTTTACAGTTGGAACTTCACATAAATTAATTATATGTTTCCCTTTATCGAAGCAAGTAGCTAAATTGAAAACACCTAAAGGATCCACGGTGACAAAAATGCTAGAGCAACTTCAGCTTCCATGCTTTAAAGCATTATAGACTGATGAAGTAGGGTCAGTGGCAAAGCTAGGTTTCTATTGAAGCAGCCAAAATGCATGTATTATAACATATTTTAGAGTGATTATATATACATACACATGTATATCATATATATATTCAAATTAATTATATAAATCATATGATATAAGAATAAAATAACAAAAATATGTGAATAGTATTCAAATTATAAAACATATAAAAGTAGAAATGAATTGAAAGTAATACACTAGACCACCATGTGTGATACATTGAGGTATATAAAAGATATCTTGATTTTTCTTATATATAGCTTGTAAAAATAGCAAATATGAAAAGTTCAGTTAATAAGCACAGTAGATTAGTAAACAGAAATCAAAAACAAACAAAGAAAAAAGGGATATAATCGTACATCAAAAGGAAGAGTGCCAAGGAGGTGAATGGACTGCACGGGAGTGTGGCCCAATTTCTTCTAGGCCGAATATTTAAGTTCAATTTGGGCAAAATCCATGAGTGCTGATTGTTTGGGCCAGAAGTTTCAAGCTTTTGTTTATTTATTTTGTTGAAAGGGAATAATCTAGAATAGAGTAATTTATGGTGTAAATATAGGAAGTTTTTGTATGTTACCTAAGTTAGGGAAATTTGTCTTTTCGTACAGCTAATGCATCCTAAATAGGCTAGTCTCTTTGCTAGATATGTAGGCTATAACTCTTTGTATTATTCACGGCAATACAACTATTATTTTCTTCCATAATATTCTACATGGTATCAGAGCCAACTTAGTTCCTGTGAGAGAAAAAAACCCTAGTCATTTAGCCTATACACAACCTCCTCATCCAACCTAGCTGCAAATCAGCAGCAACAACTCCACAATGTACGAAATCGCATCTGGCTCCACAGCTATTAATACTTCTTCATCTACTTCAGCCAATTCACAGAAAACTCCAGCTTTGGTTTCCTCTGAATCTCATTCAATCCAAATAACTACTATTTGGCTGAATGGAGATAATTTACTGCGCTAGTCTCAATCTATGCTCATGTATATTCAGGAAGAGGGGAAATTGGCTACATTACTGGAGATAAGAAAGAAACTATCATTGATGATCAGACATACCCCACATGGAATGCCGAAAACTCTATGGAGGAAGATATTAGCTCCAACTACATGTGTTATCACACAACTAAGAAGTTTTGGGACAATGCCAATCCTATGTATTCAGATTTGGAAAAGCAGTCCCAAGTCTATGAATTGATGTTAAAACTTAGAAATATCCGTCAAGATGAAGATAGTATTACTAAATACTTCAATTCACTGAAACGTCTGTGGCAGGATTTAGATTTATTCAATAATTATGAGTGAAAATCTTCTGATGGTTCCAACTACTATAAAAAGAAGGTTGAAGATGACCAGATAAGTTTTTTATTGGTTTGAATGTTGAATTTAATGAAATTAGAGGAAGGATAATTGGTAGACAACTTCTTTCTTCTATTGGAGAAGTTTTTTTCGAAGTCCATCGTGAAGAGAGTCACAAACTTGTCATGCTTGGCAAGAAGACTTCAAGTAGCATTCTTGAGAATCCTTCTTTGGCTATCGGTGAAGACTATGCTAGCAATCATGAGAAGACTCGTGTATGGTGTGATCATTGTAATAAGCCAAGACACATTCGTGAAACATGCTAGAAACTTCATGGTAAACCAACCAATTGGAAGGGCAAGCATAAGGGGAAGTTTAACCAGCAAACTGGTCGAATGAATGTTCCCACTGCACATGAAGCTAACGCTATCTCATTCGATCCTCAGCAAATGGATCATATTCTCAAGCTGCTAAAATCTAACACCGTAATATCAAGTACTCCTAATACTTCTCTTGCACAAGCAGGTAGTGATTTAAATGCCTTCGTTTGTTATTCTCTTTCGCAATCTGCTCCTTGGATAATAGATTCAAGAGGATCTGACCATATGACTAGTTTTTCTAATTTATTTCATACATATAATCCTTGTTCTAGACAAGAAAAAATTCGTGTATCAAATGAATCTCATTCTTCTATAGCAAGCAAAGGTATGGTCAAATTATCAAAAACTTTATCTCTTAAATTTGTTCTTCATGTACCTAAACTTGCTTGTAATCTTCTATCCGTTTGCAAAATATTCAAAGATTCTAATTGTTGTATTACTTTCTTTGATTCCCATTATGTTTTCTAGGACTAGAATTCGGGAAAGAAGATTAGCGGTGCTAGGGTGATAGATGGTCTCTACTACTTCGAAGATGAAGATTCCAAGTGTAGTGTTAGTTCTACCACTATTAAGGATAAAATAATGCTTTGGCACTATAGATTAGGACATCCTAGTTTTTCATATCATAAGAAATTGTTTCCTACTTTAGTTCTTGGAGTAGATAGTTCTAACTTTCATTGTGAACATTGTATTCTATCAAAAGGTCACAAAAATACCTATCATTCAAAACCATATAAGCCTTATCAGCCCCATTACCTAATTCATAGTGATGTTTAAGGTCCTTCAAGAATTCATACTTGTTCTGAAAAAATATGATTTGTGACTTTTATTAATGATCATACTCAATTATGTTGAGTATATTTAATGAATGATAAATATGAAGTTCAGACTTTATTCAAAAAATTTTATGCAATGGTTGAAACACAATTTCATACAAAAATTAGAATTTTGCATACTTATAACAACACTCAATATTTTAATAATACTCTTCACAGCTTCTTCAGAGAATAGGGTATTGAACATCAATCTACTTGTGTTGACACACCACAGCAATATGGCGTTGCTAAAACAAAAAATAGACATTTAGTAGAAGTTGCCCGTGCACTAATGTTTTCTATGCATATTCCTAAATATCTTTGGGGTGAAGCTATTTTGACTGCATCATATTTAATTAACACGATATCTACTCGTGTTTTGACATTACATTACACCCTTAGAATGTTTCAAACATTGTTTTCCTGATACTTGGATTTTGTTACAATTACCTTTTATAGTTTTTGGTTGCACAGCTTATGTTTTTATTCCTCGGAAGGATCGATTGAAACTTGATCCTCGAGCTAAAAAATATGTTTTTATTGGTTGTGCAACAAATAAGAAAGGATATAAATGTTTTCATCCATTAACTCGCAAAATTGTTGTTACTATAGATGTTGTGTTTCTTGAAAATCAGCCCTATTTTCGAAATAATTTTCTTCAAGGGGAGAAGCTAGATGAAGAAAATAGTTGAGATATTCAACATATTTTACCCAAAGTCATACCTCCTAATCCTATTATGCCAATTGTGGAGGAATCTTTGATAGGAGGAGAAACACTGTCAAATAATTCTAAGGAATATAAGCCTGAGGTTATTGTTTATGCAAGGAAGAAAAGTCATAGAAAGGGTAGAGAATCATCTATACCCAAAGCACCACCAAGTCAATCTAATGCTCCGGATTTAGGTTCAAGTAATATTGATTCACCTCATCTTTCATCTCCTTCATTAGATTGATAGGACCCAAAGATCATGATCCAATGACTCATAATCTCCTCTTAAGTAATTTCCTGACGTTTTCCCTCAATGTTTAGCATCTTTGGAGACGAAAACAAATTCTATGATGAATAATATATATAGTTGCTTTTTAAGAAAATCCTAAACTAATTTATGAATCTCTGCAATAGATTGATTAAAAACTTGAATTAGAATTTTTCTTTTTTGGATTATGTTAACATATATAGTATATCAAAATGGAATTGTCAAAAAAATTGGATCCAATAAAAATACTATTCTATTTTCATGAAGAAAGAAAATTATTAGTTGGTTTGTTATTTTTTACAAAAAATAGTATTTTCACTTTAAAAAAAAAATTATTCAAATTATATAGATTATTTATGATGTGATATGTTTATGATTTAAAAAAAAATTAAAAGATAATGTGTCCATTTACCCGTATATACTAGTTGTATTCTCTCGTATGTCCTTTTAAGAATATTTCATTATCATACAAAATTGTATATTTATATTTCTCCCATGTGCCCTTTTGCATCGTTTTAGACAAAATTGCCCCTCGAACCACTAAAATAAAAATTACTTTTCGAAAAACTTATCAAAACTTGAAAAAACGAGTAAATAGAAAAAAAAATAAGAAAACCTAAAAATTTGAAAAGCATAGAACCATAAAAAACTTGAAACATCTAGAAAAAATTCCAAACAGCCCATAAAAAATATTAAAGAAATAGGAAACTAGTAAAATATATGGAAAAACCCATGTCCTCCAAAACTTATTTTGTTTCCATAGACATGTTTTGTTTTACAGTTTTATGCATTACAAGTTAGGCTTTTTTCCCCCTAGGGTTTTCAAAAATTTTCCTTTGTTTTCTTTCAGATTTTTATTAATAATTTATTTTCTAGGGTTTTCAAGTTTTTTTATAAATAAATTTTATTTTTAAAAAAAAGTTTTTGAAAATGATTGCCATTTTATTATTATTATTATTTATTTATTTATTTGGAAGGGGCTTGAGAGGCATTTTCGTACAAAAAGTCACATAAGGACACTCGAAAAAAATATGAATATACAAGAGCATATGAGAGCAAATATTTTTAAAATGACATATGAGAGAATATGCTCAATATATAAGGATAAACAGATTGATTATCCCAAACCTTAATATATAATACTTTTTAGAGTTTTCATATAAATAAGTTTGTTAAAATTAATTTTTTACTTTTGATCCATAAATTAGTTTTTCAACCACTTGAACAATGCATATGCCAAAAATAACTAGTATTACAAAATACGAGAAGAGATATCTTAATTCTTTCTTGCTTCTTCTCTACCTTTATATTCTAACTAAAAATGGTTAAACAAAGTGCAAATGTGATACCTTTATTCCTACAATTATTGGACCAAAACATTCAATCCACCCCGTAGCATATTGTGTGTACAAGAGATTGGAGGTAAAGGTGGTTAAACTCATATCAATGGAATCCAATGCTCTTCATATTTTGTATTGGTTTAAGATAACAGACATGGAATTTATCTCATCCTTGAACACATTAAGTTAGGAAACAGGAAATTAGAATCCTTTATGACCAGCATAAAGGGAAGAAAAGAAGATTTGTTCATGATTCATGAGCTTTCTCCAGACTTTCACTACCTTAACTTCTCCATCTTAGAGGATCTTTTATTTGGAATTGCCCTTGGAAATAAGTCTATTGCTGATCCCTGTGAATCATTATCATACAAATTTTCGTATGCACTAAGTTCTATTCGCTATGAACTCTATGCTCACTCATGTCACAAAATTAAACAATAAAAGGCGGTTATATCAGGATTTTATTTAAAATGATTGACCAGAATCCCCTGACCATGATTTAATATCACCATCAAAACCTCCTAAAGCATTAAAAAAAAAAAAAAAAAATAGGTTTTCTTCAAAATGACAATGATATCTCAAGGTGCTCTGAGTCACTATATCTTCATTGTTAATACTTCCTTAGTTTTACGCAATAGTTGCTACATCAATGGTCATCCTTAGTTTCACATAATCATGGGTTGCAATATCAATGGTCATGCAGCATGGCAAATACTGAAATGTATTCAAAGGAATAGAAAAGCACAAGCCAAAAATAGAAATTTTACTATACCTTCAAATCATGGGTCAATTTTAAATTTTGTTCAAGGTCACCTTTTCTGCAAGCCAACTCATTTGAAGCAGAAGTGATTACTTCAGTTTGCTTATCATCAATAGCCTATCACTCAAAAAGATGTCGCTTCAGCAAATAGATCAAAGATTGAAAAACTGCTCCCACAATCCAGCTTGGTATCTACAGAAAATTATTTCATCAAAGGAAAAGGAGAAAGAACTGCTATTTTTGAAGAGGGACAGACCATTCGTAAGTCTGAAATTTTCCTCTCCAAAATATATCTCTCATTAAGCAACTGAAGCTCCTGGCACCATATAGAACATAAGCAATTGCAGGGAAGTCAGAAATCTAATTTTCCATTGGCCATTATGATCATCAAGATGCATACTAGCAAAGGACTTCAGATTAATTTACCCTCAAAGACGCAGCAGCAATTTGTCCATGAAGAATCTGGATCTCCTCCTTTTGTGCCCTTAATCGAGAATAAAGCTCCTATTTGCAAATTCATAAAGTGTAAGCAAGCCACATCAAGCTTCACTGTAAGTAAAGAATCAAAATTTCTACATGGAAAACTTGAAAAGCACCAGTACCATTGCCTCCTTGTCTTCAAAATAATTGAAATTGTCATCGGTTTTCAACTTCCTCGGAGCAAGATGTGCTTCAGCATTATGCCTACTGATAAAACAAAATTTACTTCAAATAACATGCTGCACAACTCTTGGTTTGTAGCCAATCATCCGTATTTAGGATACAAGCTATGTCAAATTGATTTGGCCCTCATATAAGCATTTGAATAAACCAATTCTTCTTGGAGGCCTTGGTTCAGGTAATAACTGTTTATTGAATTAGAATTCTGAGTGCAAAAACGTTCATTGTTAAGCTCTTGCATATGGGTTTTACTTGAAGACACACATTGGCTGTTCTAAGTACTCTTCAAGACAACAATGGCTGAATGGTTTATTTTTCCATGATTGCCTACTAAATTGTGCATTTTACCTCATTTCCTTCCTAGTTTCCATTGTCCAAAGGTACTGCATCTTTTAATAAGTCACAACTCCCAAATGCTGTAATATGCACAACTACTAATCAATAAATGTACAAATAGGACAAAAAAAAGGTAGACATTGATTCTCAGGTGAAGAAACCAAAACATGGAGAAAGCGTTATAAACTAAACTACAGTTGTATGAAACAAAAAACATTTCAAGGAAAAATAAATTCCTAATGGACTTCCAATTTAGACAACTTGAAAAGTGTCTAACAAAAGATTGACTAAATGAACATAGTATTCCAAGATTCTTTCTTCCAAGAAAGAATTGACACGAGAAAACATTTTTCCAAAATTAATTACCAACTGATAGAGAACATATCATGCATTGAATAAATAAACAAAAGATGAGTAATATATAAAGTTTGAGAATGAGTCGCAAACCACAAAACTTAGGTCTTTTGAATGAAATTCAATCTCAACTATTTAACTCCCTAGTAAAGATCCTGACAGCCAAGCCACTCCCCAAAGAGTACACTTAAACAATAATAATAATTAGGAAACACTCCAAGCTTGAAAAGGAAACCGCCACATGTCCACTCAGATGAGTGGATGATGAAAGCTAAAATATGCTTCTGCGATCAACTGCAATGACTTCAAATATACTGCTGCCTTCCTTCTACTATTATTAATTAAAGCTAAAATATGCTTCTGGGATCAACTGTAATGACTTAAAATATACTGCTGTCTTCCTTCTACGATTAAAGTAAATAAATAAAGCTAATAAAACATGGAAGTTGCTCTCTAAAAAAAATCTCAACCTTGATTCACTTACACATAAATAGTTAAAATTCTATAAAAGAAAAAGAAAAATCGAATACGAATAAATATAAGTAAACAAACTTTACAAATTATATAAGAATCTGATTTTACATTCATGTTTATAATATCACGCTCATAATCCGCACAGACGCATACATGGATACATTCAATTTTCTGTTGTTAATTCCAGAGTAGTATTTTAATTGGAAAGAAAAAAAAACTTGTTAATAAGTAGATTTAATGTCAAAAATAGAGAAGATTTCAAAAGTTGGTTATTTATAATTTGCAGATGATTGTTTTTGAAAATGGAAACGAATCAATAAATAAAGTACCTGTTGTGTTTCTTATCTGCAGGAGCTGGAAAGGAGAGGGAGAGAGAGATCTGTTTTTGTTTGTGATTTTCTACAGGCGCTGAAGGAAGATGATCTTTACTAAATAGAAAGAGAGAAGGAGAGAGACGCATGTGGAGTTAGTTAATAAAAGTCAAGAATGGGTCGCTGAGGGTATTTTTCATTATTATTTTTTCGGTCTGTCAATTCATAATCTAAGGAGGCCAAGGGATGACCGATGACCTTCACTTCAAACTTATTTTCTTCTCTATCAATGTAAACGGAAATGGAAACCGAAACGGGTGTGAAAGGGATGCTAAAGTCGCTCGTGTCAATGTGAAATGGAGAAATAACCTTAGCATCCAGCAGTTGATTAATTATTTGACTTCGTTTAATTATTAAACATTCACTATGAAAACAAAAGCTTTGTTGATTTTATTACAATTGAAATAGTGATGATAAATGTTAGTGGAAACCTCAATTTAATTCTTAACATATTATCTCATTATTAATTAATTGAATTCTATTTTTTTAATTTATCAATTTGTTTCAAATATAATTTATATTAGACAATATTATATTTTTCATTCCTTCTTGTTGATGTCATTTAAAAGGTTCTATTCATTTTGCATGCGATCTCTTAAGTTCTTTCAGTAGCTTTAGTGTCCTTTAGGAGCATGGGGCAGCGGTGGCGTTTTGCTCAAAACGCCAAATGATATATTTTTATCACTTGTTACTGGTTTTGAATGTACGAATCCTATAATAAAAACGTCGACACTCAAAAAGTCCCATTTTAGAGTATCTCACTGTTTGCTCTATATTTTTTTTACAGTATATATTTTAATATATATAAGCTTGCATGTGAAAGCATACTTATGACAGGTTACTCTCAAGATAGGGAAAGAGACGCTAACTAGTACAAAAGGATGACAATATAACATGCATAAATATAATGATTGAAATTAAAAGAGAATTAGAGAAATTGCACTCAAGATTTTATACTAGCTCCTGACGTTATATGAATAGTCCGGTCTTTAAGGATGGCCTTAAGAGTTATTGAAATTTTTTTCAAACTATTTTCATTTTCATTTTGTTTCGGCTTTTTGCACTAGCTTCAAATAAAAATATTTTGTAACGAAAAAAAAAAAAAGTAAAAGAACGTGTTATGTAGGACAATAGATCATCTAATCATATGGGTAGATGAACCAAATTAAATATAAACTACAACTACTGTTTATAGTGTTTATGGAGTTTAACATTACACATAAAATAAATCTAAAAGAATTAAATTGACTACAATAGGCTTGGAAATACATCGTGGAGAAACTGCTACATTTCAAGTCTGGTTGGATTACGAGATTTGAGGTCGAATAGCCTAAAATAAATGAGGAATTAACATAGAAGTCAAACTCACTAATCTAATATGCAATCTAAATAATAAGATTAAACCACAAAATTAAGGGTTTAAGTAATTGAACATTAAAATCAAAAGGCTACAATATGAATGAAAATTTAATAACAATGAACTAAAAATCTTTATAAACAATACTATAGTTTTTGTAATACTAAATTGAATAACTTATAGTAAATGAAAAGTATAAATATTTACAAATTGAAACTTTAGACATAATAGTATATAAAAGAACCGTAAATGATGGTGGTTACTAGCATGATCGAAGATGAATAATTAATTATTAGCTTATAAATTATCGCTTACTCGGTTATCATATACCGATTATCACTTATAAACTATCGCCTATAAATACCACCTGCTAGGCGGTACCTAACAAGTTTCAAGTGTGAAACTTGTCATAGTATTTCTTGATTTTTTTGCAATTTGCAAGAGTTTGTTTATGTTTGGTATTATTATGTGTTGATTTTTTATTTTTTATTTTTTATTTTTTGCTACGGTTGGTATTTATAGACTCTTCGATACTCCATAACCTCCAGGTAATGGGTCATTTTCTCAAATACAAGTTGTAGTGCTCTATGTTCTTCTTTCCCTTGCATTATAATACATTTGTGTTTTGTTTTCTTACACTTCAATGTCTTGCTCTATTTTTTCTTATGCTACAATTTCCATGTTCTTCATAACTATCCGAGTCATGTTTTATTATTACTAGAAGCCTATTATTTCTTTAATTACCTGTACAATTCTTGTTGCTGGTCATCTCGCTTTTTTCATATAAGACTTTCTCCACAGCTTTCATCCAGCTTTTAAAGTCCATCTTCCATCGGCTTTAGAGAGAACTCTAGCATTCTCACTTGAGAGAACCGATTGGGCTTTTCATGAGCATAGTGGTTTTAATGTATGTATTGGGTTTAATAGGTTGACAAATAATTCTTCTTTGAATGGAATAAGTCAAATTGCCTCTTACATGGGTTAACCATTAAACTCATTTCAAAACCTTGATGGCATTTCCTCAAGTTTGGCATCTAATTTAATAGGATCAAGCCCGAAATAAATTTGAATATAACATTTGTCTTTATTTTTCACACCTTCGACTCTTTGCAATTCTTATGGTTTCCCAACTACTACTTATAGTCTTTTTCACGTGTTGAAAGAAATGACTCGTTTGACATATGTTCATTTAGTTCCTAAAATATAACGGATACATGGAACCTATCAGTTGGCCTATCGGTTAGATTCCAATTTTCACCTTATATCCAATTATATTAAAAAAAAAGTTAGCTTTCAATTGGACATTGATTCATTTATCTTTTGCAAATTAATCTTTGTTGCTCTCTAAAACTTTAAGGTTTTTATTATGTCTTTCCATACCCTCAACTCCTTACGATTCTAATAGTTCCTCCAAAATATTCATATGTTTCCTCTTCCAAGGTAGACATTGATCATTCTTTTTTTAATCTTATCTTCACCTATTCCCGCCATTCAACTTGGCATCCTTTATGACCAAAAATCCTTTACTCTAGTGGATTCTTTAATTCTTTTGCATTTTCTTAAAACTACCCTCCGACTTTTTTAAGTATCATGCACCTTTGTACCTTTACATTCTTAGTCCTTTGCTCTCTAACGATCCTACTCTCAAAGACTTTCTTTTTACACTTTGTTGCATTTTGAAATAGTCAATTCCTAATATGAAGGCTATAGTTCTATACATTCCTAAATTTGATATTAAGATTCATTAAGCGAATTTCTCTAGTTATCGTAAATGCCCATCTAGGACCTAGCTTATAGGCCAAAGTGAGATTTATGCTTTGTATTCTTTTCTAAAGACCAGCCTTATATTTGGGCAAAGTGGGACAAAATAAGAATAACAAAGACACTATATCTCATTTTGAATTATGCTTTGACTATTAAACCCTTTTTTTCGAGCTATCATTTCTTTATAGAATAATAGAAATAATTTTATTCTCACACAAAAAGATCCTATAAGACTCACTCTTGATGATGTGGTGTTGACAAGCATTTCTCCTAATGGGATGGACTTATGCTATTTTTAAGCCTTTATCATCTATGACACGTCTTATAGAGAAGGTTTTCATCTATAAGTGATATATCTAAAAGTGTATACCACCTATGCTCAAAACTTACTCTGTCTACCAAACCATGATCATCGAGAATTATGCTTTTTCCTCGTATGACTTTGTAGCACATGATTTGTTGTAGGAGTATTATAGTAAATTCTAAAAGTTTCCATCAAAATTTTCCTAACCCATATTGGTTAATTACTTTTTGGGCTACAACTTATTTTTCCTCTATCGTTTCCAAGTCTATCTTTTTCAATGGCAATTCTAAATTTTTGACTTACGAC